CGCGGAGACGGCCGAATTAAAATTCTACTCTCTCCGTAAGTGGTCTCGCTGAATTAATGAATCGCCCGGCATAAATGCGCATAGCTCCGGCGTCTGAATCATCCCCGAACGAAGCGTCGCCAACGAATTTCAAATACTCGCCACAAAATTATATCTCTGCCATAACAGTCCGAGCATTCACTCGCCAAAAGCGAGAACCAAGAGCAAAAACTCTTCGCGCCGAGGTCTCCCTTCAATCAACTCGACGCGGCCATCATCATCCAACTAACGACCCCATAAAGATTGTCTTTATGCGAATCATCCCGACCCCTCCCTCGCGTAGCGTGCCCGAAAAGTCGGTTGCGTAACAGAAGGTCTAGAGAGCAGCGTCCAGTGTCCGCTAATTTCGGAAAGAATCAACCAGCCCCGCGAAAACGGTTGTCGCCGGCCGTTACACCCTACGGGCACCGATAAAACGGGCGGCCAGCGTCTGCGGGGCGCGATGACCGGTTTTCCTATGAAATTTCGTGGAAAGCGGGACGGCGTTCGCTCGCTCGCTCGTTCGTTCCGTCCCGAGTCGCCTTGGAGATGGTCGCGGAGGAGGCGGTGGTGGCGGCGGAGGAGTCAATAGACTCTACGTTGCGGCAGATGTACGTATCGATTTTGGAACGTTGATTCGCGCGTGTTCCAGAACGATACCGTTGCCCTCTGCACAGAGCAAAGAGAGAAGGAGACGCCGGCCAACGGGGCCGGAGGGGTGAAAAGAGATGCTGACCGCGTCTCTCTTCAAGATCACCCCGGCTGGCCCGGTCTCTCGCCTTCCGTTGCCCCGCCGGTGACGTTCGACGTTTACCAGCAGGCATGCGGGACGAGACAGGGGGCTTCGAGGAGCACCTGGAGGCCGCTGGGTGGCCGGCATTACCCTCGCCAGGTGGTTGCAACTTGTTGTTACGGCACCACGACTCTGGGCCTTTCCTCTATTTCCGCGGTGACCAATGGACTCGCGTATACTTGACCCGTGAATGGACCGACGTAACGCGTCCGTAGGTCATTGATGCTTCGGACGATGGACCACCTACTTGGCGCATGCAAACGCAGTGATCTACGAACATAGAGACCGATGAGAATTAGGGAGTCCCAGAGTATCGGTAGCTAACGGATATTATTCCGTTGAAGAATAGTTCGAGCGTCGCGTTGGGTTGCTAGATCCGTTGGCAACAGATATGTTGATTTAAAGTGTCCCAGGTTAACCGAAGTCAATTGACCATAGAATAATCAGTTTCCTCGATTAGTAGAATGTTCCATTCGTCGATTTCTCGGCATTGGATCAGTGGTGGCTGCCTTTGATGGTCCATAAATTGGAGGATCCGCGCATCGGAGGAAGAAAGTTCGCGGAAAGACGCACGCAGCTGCGTTCACGGATCATTTACCGGTGCCCGTTACCCTTGGGCTGTGAGGTGATACGTCCTTCGGACACGACCCCATTGTTCCCGGTGAAAGGAATACGCGGACAGCCGTGTCACGTGGCCGATCTTCCGCAAAATAAAAGGATCCTCCGTGTGGTCACCCCTCGCGCGTGGCACGCGCCACCGTCCACCTTTCTTCCCGTTCCAGCCAGCCGTCGCCTTTTCAGATCCCCCGGATAAGGAATCGCTTGCCTGGCGAGTCGGCAGGGGACGGAGGGCACTCTTTAGAATGGTTACGGTTACTTTCTTTGCGAAACTGCACGGTCGGCTGGCTCCGCCGGCACCTTTGATGTTTCGCCTGTGGCCACCCTGGCGCGTCGGATCTGCCATTATCGATGCTGATGCGGCGACTCCTACGGTGACGGAATCGGGATAGGTTAACCAATCGCGGATTGCTCCGTTCTTACTTCGAAAAGGAAGAGCAACAATGGTAGTAACAGTAAAACGGTAATGTGCGCTTTATTTTTCAACAAATGTTCCCCCGACCTTACAAAGTTTGGTCGGGGGTAATTATACAGAAGCGCCTTTATGGCGAAGGCTGATTTACTAAAGTAAAACGGTACTGACTCTGAAAAATGAAAGGGAGCGTACCCTAATCCAGACTTAACCCTGTTACACTCGATATCTTCCTATCTTCGATGAAGACACTGCGATACATCGATTTCGTCAAATGCATTTGAATACGTAGATGTGCAACCGTGAGGTCAGTTCGCGTCACGCCGAGCGAGTTCGATAAATCTGACCTTGAGATTTCGGATTGCCACGGAAATAGGAGCGAAGCTCGCGAAAAAAGGCTCTCCCGACAATGAGCCGGGTGAACGGGAATCGAGGCGAACGGGAAAAAGAAACAATGCGTATATTATTCCTGCCCCCCTGGCCCCGTCGCCGGTGTACCCTGCTGGTTAAACACAGCATCATATTTCGATATCGCTGTTCCGCCGGGGGTTGTTTTCCGAGGCCGCCCTTGAGGATTTAAAGAAGCCGGGATAAATGGCACCCCGCGTGGCTCCCGCTGCACAGCCCGGATCGCGATTCGAACATCGATGATTGAACGTACAAAGGAGGGCAAACAATGGCCTCTCGAGGGAGCAGGTGAAAAAACTGATGTTCTAGAGCCCACTTGCGATTGTCGCGATTTAAACCGAACGCGATACGAAAATATCAGACTCGGTATCGTTCCGGTGTTTCAATCGAAAGAGAAACGTAATATTCGTCGCTCTGTTGTCTAAGATAAGTGCCTGAAACGCAACAGCTTCCATAAGCCAAGCAGAAGGATACTTCCAAGATAAATAATCAGCACAGTGTTGCTCGGGAAGCATCAGTAATTTCTCCAATTACGACCGACGATTGTGAAAGGGTATTTTATTAAACGACACTCGTTCTGCGATCCAAGCAGCCTCGAAACAGCCCCTATAACCCAAGAAGACAATGCTTCCCAGAAAAAATAAGTAGCACAGCTTTACAAAAAGAAGATTAGTAATGTCTGAAATTGCGAGTGACATTCGTGGAACGATATTTTCCGCACAGATCGCGGCGTCTCTAATAGCAGCCACCCTCCATTCATCCCCGAAGGATCGTTCCGGGGGACAGACGAAGAAACCGGGCAGCGCCGGGGCGAGAAAGTAACGCAAAGTCGAGGAGGGGTCTGCCGAGCGTTGGGGGATGACCGATACAAGTGGGACGTTCAAGAAAGGGGTTAGGTCCCATACGGTGACAACGGCAAAACTCGAAACGACGTCGCCGGACTTGGCTTCCGGCCATTTCCCAGCTATCGATCCACGAAGCGTTACGACGAAGCTGCCCTACGTGCAATTATAGGTGTATCGTGTGTATAATACGACCCTGGTACGTTCGCAACGGCAGAGGGGCCGAGGGGAGAAGGGCGGGTCGGATCGCCGCCGACACACAAGGACGATCTCCAAAAATTTGGCCGGCCAGCCGGGGATCCAGGGATTCTTCGATGGCCCTGTGCACGGAACACGCTGTTACGGATAACTAGTTCACCGCTTTAGCGTTTACTTCTGAGGACAATTTAGTATTTCCTGCGGAGTGAAGCGGGTCAAGCAAAAGGTCGTTGCGGTGCTCGAAATTCGCGGATAAATAGGTAGAAATGCAATTCTTTCTTTCCTCCGTTCCAGTCGTTTCTGTTTGCCAGGATTCAACCCCTTTTCTAGGCCGCTGACCGTGTTACCGATGGTCGCTGGGATTGATGAATCCAGTCACCCATTGCTCTACAAGATTACCTACGTTTAAATTCAGGGTGGAGTTTTGCTCTTCGATACGAGTAGAATTGAATGTAAATAGGATCAAGATTAGTTTGAGGTGGAGGTTGAAACTTGTCTTAGATGGAAATTAGTTGTATGTTATATGTCGATGAAGCGTCGCGAGACAGGTTTTAATTAGACGTGTTAATTTAATTGAGCGCAATGTTCTCAGCAGTATTTCAGATTCGTCCGGGTTTTAACTATTTCACTGGCTGCTCGTAAAGCGGACGTGGGATTTCGGGAAAGGAAATTGCGCCGGCGGAGAGGAAAATGCGGTTTACTGTGCCCGTTTCCCATAACATATTTCGGGGAACTGGCGTGTAAGAAATACGCAGTTCACCCACCCCACGGATGCAACACAACGGTGCGTTTCCACGTATGCGTGGAATCGATAACTGGGAATTAGTCTGACAGGCTGTCTGCCAGAACCGAGTACGTGTGTCTACGCGAAAAACCTTTGCCAATCGCGTTACGGTAATTAGACGCCACGGCTAATCGAGCCGGATATCCATCGCGATGGTTTTATCATCGCTAACGATAATTGTCGGGTCAGTTTTTCATTCGGAGACTGTATCCTGAATGATATTTCAACGTTCCCGAAGAATCCGGTAGAAAAGTTTCCAAGCGAATCGATTTGTTAATCTCGTTTCTTCCATTGTCAAGAGAATGCCCCGAATGTCCTTACCGTGGTACGTTACGATAACGGAAATTCGTTTGAAAAATGTAACCGCGCTGATAATTTTATTCGGTTCAGAGGCGAATATGGCAAAGCGAGTAGACTTTTCAAAGAGATTTAATTAAATCGAGTTACCACGTTATCACGTCGTTGACAGTCTTTTGGATTTTTAATAACCTGTCCTGCATATTTCTACGGCGAAACATCGTTTGTTCCTCCGTGGCGAAAAGACACACGAGATACACGGAGAGACAAACCGAGGGATAAATGGAAATATGTCCGCACAAACGGCGCCGTGGAAGCTAGCACGGGACCGAGATAAATAGAGGATCGCCGTAGTCGGTACCGAGGATCAATATGTCACAACTACGGTCGCAAATACGCGAGACAATGAACGTATATGCACGCTGCTGGACAAAAGTATCGGCACGTCGAAATTATGATACGTGCATTGAAAGGAGAACGCCTTGTACCGTTAATTTAACGTATTTATTTAAAAATCTGATTATACATAATGGCCATTGTCCGTTTATAAGTATTTTTCTAATTATGATCATATATTAAACACATGTTTCTTTTTAAATTAATTAATTCTGATGAATATTTTTTTATGTTAATAAATTATACACAACTGATTTACCTCCGTTACGTATATTTATTGTTACAAAAAGATTCTTAGGTACATTCCGCTTGAAACAATGTTAGAGTGTAACAAATATTGTTAAAAACACTGTTCTCCAGTGCATTTCTTTGTAAAAGTTAACTAGTCTGTTAATTTATTAGTGATATCGTCCAGTCTTGAAAATTACCGATAACTGTGAAGTTGAATATTTTGTGTTTGCCATTTTTGAATGTACAGATGGTTTGAATTTTCCCGCGTGCGGCGCTGAAGTCAAAGCGCAGAAGTTCCCGCGGTTCTTGGGTGGAAGATGCTGACGCTCCTGCTGAAATTAGTGTTTTAGAAGGGAAAAAAGTGGAAACAATGCAGAAGAAAGACTGGACATCTTGAAGAAATACTCCTCTACAAGAAATATAAAGAAAAAGTATCCTAACAATTAGTTTTATCGCCGTATAAAGAACATCCCATACCGGCCCCTTCCTAACGATCCAAAGACACTTCAACTTGCCGGTGAGTTTCTTTAACAGTTCATAAATATGGATTATTTCTCGATTAATCACTCGTAACACTTTGATTTAACACTGATTCTCATCCCACGCATACTGTATATATGATACAAAAAGAATTCTATAAGAATTGCAAGGTATAAATTCAGCTATAAAACTTATCATATACTCTTATGTTTCTTTTGAAGTTTTTGGATTGTACAACGCTATAAAAATTTAACTACCGTGTATTGTTGTTCAATTGTTTATAAAAATCGATTACAGATGGGAGAAAGAAATTACAAATATTAACTGCTTTATATTAGCACCACATTAAGCAATCCGTTCGTAATCCATTGAGATATGATATAAATATAATTGATGCAATATAATTTATGGTATTAAAAATACCTTCTCTTTAACTGGCCAATAAACATTCATTCTCGAATGTCACAACACACTGAATTACAAATAATTCTTTTTTTAAGTTGTTAATTATCACTCCTTGCCTGACTTCTCAGGATAGTTGCAGTTGTATTTGCGACAAAAGTATTGCCAGGTTTTGTGGCATTACTCAATTGAAACGTAGGCTTCAATTAAAGAAGTCTGCTACTTCTGCTAGTTCTCTTGCTCTTGCTTGCTGATGTGCCCAGCGATCCTCTGCAAGCTTGTCACTTATACCCCATTTATCATGATAGATACGTTGTCCACAAGTTGGACATTTCTTACCCCCTATAACAAGAAAATATTACGCATTGCGACAACAATAAGACAACGTATGTCTGTAGCACAATTCATTACCATGGAATGGGGGAGTCTTCATGAATGTCACAAGACATTTCAAGTGAAACAAATGACCACAGTACAATCTTTCTATATGCAAATCTGCAGTTTCGTTGGTTTCTGCTTCTTCTGGCTTTATTGGTAGACATTTCTCTTTGCATGCCTGACAGTGCTCTTGTGGTAATTTCTTCACAGACCTAAATGAAATAAAAAAGGCAAAAATAAAAACAACATTTAGGAAGGAACATTGATTCAATTACCTTATAAGAAAAGAAGCAACAACGTTTAAAGATGGTGATGGTGTAAAAGGAGTTTTTTGCGGATGTTTGGTTAATGGTGGCTCAACACACTGTCTAGCTAGTTCTCTTCCTTGACCCAAGAAATATCGAGTAAACAATGGAGGGAAGTTTGTGTCAGCATCTTCTAATCTGCATTAAATATAAAAATTTATATTTTACGGGTCTGCATGAAAATACACAAAGAGAGTTCTCTCCTCTACATACTTTACACAAGCAATTGGATAATTATCTGGTATTTCAATCTTTGCCTTAAAGTAGTACAATCCTTGCTGAACCTTTAGACAGATACAAGAATGTTTCTGTCTCAATTTTAGTTCATCATCATTCTCCAAGATGTTCTTTAGGGTAGAAATTTCATCATAGCAACAGATTAAAGGATTCTCATCGATGAAATTACGGACCAGCTTCAACGTAGGAAGCACCTGTTAGAATAACAAGTACAAAATATTTCTTTATTACACGTCATGGGATAAAACCATTGCCCAGGCAAACAAATGAAATTAATTTTACCTGTGCTTTGCCCAACAGTTTCTTGCATTCCTTCTCACAAACTTCTGTTAATCCGTCAAGTAATTTAGTGGACAAAGTTTTGCTCTTCAATTCGATTAACAGTGGATTCTGAGGATAGTCTTTCGGGAACTGGATACACGCAACGATCGTTTTAAACTTCGTTTTCCTGTAAATCAGAGAGCGCATATGAGTAACGAGTTATAATCAATTTAATGTAAATGGCATTGTACACAAACTTACGCTATTTCCACTCGCACCATTATGCGCACACAGGAGACCAGGCGGCTGCCGTCGACAACATTTTGACAGAGTTTTGACACTTCTTGTAATTCATCGTCGATAAAGCCCATGAGAAAATGGAGACAAATTTGTGCTTTGCGATCTGATAACTTCACGTGCGGTTGTGTCAGCAACACGTACCGAACAACATGCAAATCAACATAACATAACCAAGCTAGTGGTGATGCGGAGTTACTATGATTCGCCGTACCAAAAATTAGAATTATGTCATGCGATCACGATCAAGGTCAAACGAAGAAACTAAACTTCATTCGGCCATTCACGTTTTGAGGCACGGATCTACAAATATTTACTAAACTATCTCAACGGCTCAACGTCGAATAAAGAAATTCAAATCGAAGAGAAATCGCGACAAGGAAAGAGAAAAGTCATGATTAATTCTGATAACACTTTATTCATTACAAAATACAGTACACAAAAACAACCAGAGGAACGCTTCCCAGTAGAGAACAGACGCCATATGCAATCACGAGGATACAAACATTTAAATTTACCAAACTCTCCACGAACAATGCAACATACGTACCAATTGTTCTCTTTATTCCTACACGTCCAATTACAAAAATATAAAAACACATATCAACAAGGAACTCCAGTATAATTTCATTCTAGCTGATTGGTCAATGGATGGTCGCTGAAAACCGAGCACCCATAGGTGTCTCTTCTATCACAGCACTCTATGGTGGAGACCTAACCTAGTTTCACGCACGTGTTTAGGGGAAATTTGAAATTCCACCTGACAGAAGAGCAACACATCCACGCGCTCGAGGAACCATGCGAAGAGGACAGTGATAACAAGAAGTCTCAAAAAAGAACAAGAAACTACGGACAATGTCTCGGATCGCCGATTCTAGAGAAATTCTGGTCACCAGCGACAGCGTCGGCGAGCACTGGAGTGCCGCCGTGTGGGATCCACGCACAGGATCTGCTTTATCCACGTACAAACACGCTGGCGCGTTGGCACACCGTACCCTCCAGCTGTTGAGCGACAGTTACATAATTGGCGCGGATTCCGCAAAGCCCCGTATACATATATGGCCTTTGAATAATCCCAACCCGGTATCTAACCTGCGATTAGCAACACCTGGCAAGGTAAATGCGTTGACCTGCACGCCTAATGGCGCCTATATGGTGGCAGCGATATCAGAAAAGCTATTCCTGTGGCAAGTATGCAATGGTCGCCTCCTGGGTCACTTGTCCCATCATTATCAATCGGTGAATTGCCTGTCGTTCAGCACCGACGGCTCCATCTTCGCCAGCGGCGCCGAAGACGGCCTTGTATTCGTTTGGTCCCTCTTCCGCGTGATAAACGAGGAACAACCCGCGCCGCTGCACGCTTTCTCTCATCACTCGCTGCCGGTGAAGGATCTACAGTTCGGACACTGCGGAGCTAGAGGCAGACTATGCTCCGTGTCCCTCGACCGTACCTGCAACGTGTACGAACCGTGCAGCGGCACTTTGCTGCTCACTCTCGTGTTCGACGTGCCTTTAACCGCTGTTTGCTTGAACACGCGTGAAAGCGACCTGTTCGTCGGCTGCTCCGACGGAGACATCTACAGGTTCAACCTCCACGAACCGCCTCGCGGCATAGAGCACCACGTGCAGGTGCAGAGAGACGGAGACGACGGCGGCGTGGTCCTACGTAGACACAAGTCGAAGATCCTCTCGATGTCCACGTCGATCGACGGACGTTACTTGGTCTCCGGCTGCGGGAACGGCGAGGTTCATATCTGGGACATCGCCAGCCGTCAGGTTCTACGCTCGATCGACCACAAGGGATCGATCACCGCGGCGTTCTTCGCGAAGTACTACGAGAACTTCCGAGTCACCGACCTTCAGCCGCGGCTCACGGTAGCCGGTCTGCAGAGGATATCGGACGACACCGACGGCAAGCAGAGTTTCGTCGAGGTGATTAACCGGGACCATTCCTTGACGGATGTCCTGAGCTACGAGTCGTATGCGGGGGATGATTCTGAGGGGTCAGGGGACAACGCCTCGCGGAAGCTGCTCGAAATGAGGGAGGAGATGGAACGACTGAAGAAGATCAACGCGGCGATTTATCAGTACAGCGTGAAACAAATTCTGGGGAAGGATGATCAATGAGGCGGGCGCCGGATGAGGAGTGGATTGCTTCCGGTCGCCGCGCTTTTGTACTTTATATTTGAGCTGGATAAAGAGTGTTCACTTGTCACCACGCGGATGAGAATTCACCTAATCGATATTTCCTCTGTTTCTAAGCTGCCACATTGACTGATTACCTATCGTCGTTTTTAAACGTTGTAAATAAAGAATATTTGATACCGTTCGGGTAACATATGTGCCGAATAAAAATGTACCCCCTCCCCCGGATTGAATGGAATTTCAAGCTGGATCGCGGTACAAGTTATTTTATTACGCTCTCAAGCTCCTCCGGGACATAAAGGGTTAAGTATCGAGCGCAAGGAAAATTCTATTCCGCCGCAAGCACGACAATGTCTTCTCAATAATCGATTCCGCCGAACTTAATGGTAATACGCGCCGCCCGACGCGATATAATAAGAATTCCGCTTACGAGAAAAATCGATAGCACCGGCGCGTCCCCCTTGTTACAAAATGGTGGCGTTCTTACCCCGCTTAATACTCGGCCGCGAACTTTCGGGAAAGTTGGTGAACATCGGGATTATTTACATAACTTATACCGTTTTAATTTAGCGTCGGGAGTTTCGAACTAACGTCGGATCCGTACGCTCGAAAATTGAGGAGCTGCCGTCCTGCGAGGACCATCAGGACACCGCCACCGGTCTCCGCGGGCAATCAATGAATCATGTCTTCTGCGAAGCTCCTGGAAAGGAGGTCCAAGGGAGCTTCCAGCAGCGCGTAGGCTCGGCGCGAAGCGTTGTCGGTCCCGTGAGCTCTATTTATGTTGTTACGGGGAAAACAAGGGGTGGCCACCCTTTGTCTCGAACTGATGCATAAGGTAGACGCTTGGTTCTATCGTGTATTGGATCTGCTGGACAAGTAACCTCGAACAATCGGTCAATGGAATTCTACCATTCAATCAACGATTCGTCTACAATTCCTCCTATCCAGCGAAAACCGAAAGTTACTTTATCCAACGCCAAGCTGCCATGTCCATTATCCTCCGAAACGCTGCAGGATTAAAATTCCATCACGAACGGTTCGAATCATTGAATCGAATTCGACAACGCCTCCGTTGCACCGTGACTCGCGTCCATTTTGTACAAAACCCTGTTACCGTTGTACCGCGCGGTACTTAACAAGCCGGACAGGAATCCATTATGTTTTACACGCTCGGCAACAAACTACGCGGTGCCCACAATCAGCTGATGAAAAAAAAACACCCGGGAAATAAAGACCAAGCTCCGTAGTTCGACGGAGAAAGGGAGAAATTCGGAATAACATTCGAAGTTCGCAGCACAGTGAAAGGAACAATAATATTTCCTCGCACAATACACCCCTCGCCGAGAACATTCTCGAATATCCGGCAATTAAACTCGCCAGCGTTGAAAAATTCTACCGCGATCTTTCGCCGACGCGCGAGAAGAACGATTTTAATTATTCGACCGCCATCGGTCACGATCGTAATATTCTCCCGGCGCAATTTCCCATCGGCGGATCATGGGATCCCGCCGGTATCGTTCACCGTCGCGGCCCGCCGTCTTACGAGCGGCCGGCCCGTATTTCACCGGCGCGTAATCGCGTTACAAAAATGAAATCCGCCCGCGGTAATCGCGGGAACGACCGATTTTCCGGGCGGGATCGAACGATTCCCGGGCGCGAAGCGTCGCCGCGCAGCCGATGAAATAACGCTCGCGATAATAACGGCCGGCAACGAGCCGCGTAAACGCGCGAGATTGAAACCCGTCGGCGGGGAACCCGGTTACGGATCCGCGGAGCGGGATTTATGCGATCGTTTTTGTATATTCGCTTGGAACGACGACGAACGACGGCAACCAACGAAGGAACGAACGGATGGACGAGGAAACATTGTCTCCGTTGAAGAATGAGGAGTTTCGTCTAAAAGACGAGAAAACGGTGCGACGCGGGGGGAGGGCGAGTTTACCATCCCCTCGTCATAAATTTGTTTCATTATGTGCTTACAAGCTACGGTCACGGGACACTTTGCCAACTTCAGCGAAACTTTTCATTGTCCCTAACACAATGATTTGCGAGCTCGGCGTACTTTCGAGGAGCAACGAGGAGAAGAAAAAAAAACACACAGATGGCGTTTAAATGGCGAAAGGAACGGGGCAAAGAGGAGAAGGACGACGGGAAAGTAAGCAAGAGCTCCTGTACCGCGGCCCCCGGACAGCGATATCTCGTTGAATATGATATCCGCGAAATTCTTGTTGAAGAAGAACATTTCTTCGCCCTCCGTTCCCCGAATAAACAATGTTAATGAAGCACGTGCGCCGGGAGCACTGTTATTCGAGGCGGAGACTCGGCGCGCGCCTTTGAATACCATTCCCGGCTCCGTGGCGGACTCGCGCGACGCCCGGTCCACTTAATTAAAACGTAACGGGAGGATGATCGATCTTAAACGTTAAATATGGCGGTGTATCACGCCGATGTCCCCGGCCCCTTTGTATTTAAATGAGACGCGCGAGCCCCGCGCCCCGGCTCCGCGCGAATGAATGCAAATGAGGCGTTTACGAAACCGTCCCGTACGCTGGAAATTAAATTAGGCCCGAGATCCGCCGGCCCCCCGTCCCCGGATAGAAAAGTTTGCATGGGAATTGCCACCGGCTGAAAGGAATTGATGCTCGGAAGGCCTGGATCTTTCCGTTTTAACCCTTCGCGTCTGCGAACGGCGCTGGTGCCGGTGCCGCTCTCAGCGACCGATATTTCCTCGTATGGTTTCATTAGAATAATAACACCTCTGTTTATTAAGAAACAGGAAAATCCTTTCATACAACGAAGCGAGGAAACTCGCACGCTCGGAGATTAATTCTTAACGCACCGGATGTATTTCGAGTTCACTCGCCAAAAAATACGGCGACAGCGGAAGAGATTCACAGAAGTAACCTAGATACTTGATGTGTTCATCGTAAATATTACAATAACAGCGATTTATGTCGTACTCACATAGCATTGCTCCTCGAAGAGTTAACCCTTTGCACTCCACAAGCTTCTCATTAGAACTACTCGACATTTTCTAAGAAGATACCAACGACATTCTTTCAAACTGACTTGGAGAAACCACGCGTAAATTGAAGGAAACTGAATTCTTCCAATATGCCACGTATGGATACGTTGCACAAAGATTAATATTGAATATCGAACTTTATAATTCTGTGATATTAACTGGCGACTAGAGGCGCCTACGGAGTGCAAAGTTAAAGAAGTATCGCCGACAAAATAGCTCAGACTTTCCAAACGCGCAGTGTTTCTGGCGTTCGGTGCAATCTACATTCAGTGTCTTCATGAATTCAAGGTAGCCGTGAAAAATGTCGAGAGATTTGAATTACTATTGCCCATAGAATTATCATTGAAAGGTACACGGAAGTCGGACGTCGTCCGCGAAGGGTTAACTTACCTTCCACCGGCTCCGGGGGAAAGGGACGGGCTCGTTACATATTGATCGTTCGGATTTTTATATTTTTATTATACGGATGCTCGAGATAGCCACGGATATCGATGGAAGTGATAGCGAATCGGAGAAGTATTATTCCGCCGCCGGGACGGATATACGGGGGAGAGGATGTCCATGGGCCTGGATCGATAACCGTTCGGTACTTCCGCGGGGCTCTTTGTATCATGCAAAATAAGCGTGGCGTCTGCTTCTATGCAAAACACCGCGCAGGAAAACCCTGAAGGGGATGCGATGCCGGTGCGCCCGGATAACGCGGAGGAATTGGATCCATCGAGCCACGCTAAAGCGGGGAGTTATACGAGGCTGTAAACCGTGTCACTGGATTAAGCGTGTCTACGCTCTGCGCCTCTGCGCTTAAAGACTCCGAGCGTCTCTCAAAGTATCGAAGCCTCGCGCGAGTCGCCATGATGCGCACTCTCGACAGAAGACGAATTTCTAGTTTCACATTATCAATTTAACCGTCGCGTTTCATTTTCCAGCGGCTCGACACATCCGTTTGTTAAACGAACGCGTGTGTTTCATAATCGCGTTTCTTCGAACGTTTAAATACAAGCCCGGCCACCCGCGAAATCTAGATTCGGGTTGGAATAATTTCCCGGGTATCCCGTGTACAAACTCATGAAACGGAGTAAATCGCAGCTGAACTGGGCCGTTCGTTGCTTCCAACCATTTGCCCTCTAATATTCCGACAGACTCGCGGGGAGTACCTCGAATGGAAATTAACGGAAATGAATAATAGCCGATCTCCTTGAGTTCGAAATGAATGTTTCCCTTTCGTCAACTGTTACCCCTTCGCTCTTTGGGGTTAGGTGGGTTCAAAACTGTCCCACGCTTTGCTGAACTTTTAATGCGTGAGACTTGTCGTAGTTAAAATTCTCATCAGTTGGCGACGGTATGAACTTAAAATACTTGAATAAGTGAAAACAAAAATTTCCACAGATCAAAACGCATTAGTAAGTTGAGATTGTTATAGTTAAGATTGCCGAATTGCGAAGTGAATTCTATGCGGGTTGTTTCCTTAAAAATCGAGAGTTAAAGTGAACGTGGGACTTTCCTGTATTTCTCGTAAATCGCCGATGACGGAATAATTCTACTTGATTCTCAAGTAATCCCTCGTCCGCGCTTCGAATTTCTATATTCCCTCGTTTACATTTATACGCGTGGTTAATGCCACGGTTACATATATCCAGCTAATTCAATAGTTAAACCGCGGACACGGTGCGCGAGGAGGCCGATGTTCCTCCCCAGCCGGCGAACGCACGGTTCCCCGCGAGCGTCACGTCGAAACTGCGATTAGATTTCGGAAGTGTCCCACCGGTCACTTTCGCGGACGAAATATATTCGGATTCGCTGGCGGGGGTGTGCGGCGTGCATTCCCGATGAGAAAAAAGAATCGCGCGACAGAACACACCGCGTTCCACGGATTAAAGTATCTCCGCGCGCGCCGCGCGTTGCGAGCGGTCGACTAATGCGGCATAATCTGTGCTGTTATGATCGCATCACGTATTTATAAATCTGCGTGTACGGCCGGGTCACATGACACGCGCGGTTGTGGATTCGGATTATGATGAATTATCATTACAGTTATCCGTTGCCATCCGTCTTCGTTCCGCCTGGCGAAATATTGATGGAATCGTTTAACTCGCGAGCACACTGCTTTTGGCAGAGAGGTACGAGTATTGACTAAAGGAATTTTTCTCTGAAACGATCGTGGATGATTAGAAATGTCCTTGAAGATAATTGAGATTCCGAGAGAAATTAACACTGCATTTATGGAAGCTAATTTGGATATTGAATGTTTTAGCACTCCATATAGTTTTGTGATATGTCAGCAACTCCTACCCATTCTGATAGTAGTCCTGAAATTAACAATGTTATAACATCTCGTAGACCTTTAATTCCCTTAGTACAAACTTTGTATATATAGAAGATCAAATAATCTGAAGGTAGTTTTCATAAGATTCATTAAAATATTTAATATTAGAACTGGTGCAGTATTGGACCCTACGGAGTTCAAAGAGTTAAACATTATTTCTTAAGAGTTTCAGTTGATTTTCATTGGCGAAATTATGCGAATATATATTATAATTCTATGTTCCCGAAACTCTAATTTCCGCGACCTATAACGAACAAACATGTCTTCTAGGAGCGATAGAATGAAGTATAGAACGAATATCCGTGAATCTAATGTTAATCTCAAGTTTCCTCGAGGTTTACCACGGTAAACGCCGAAGAGTCTCGCGGAATGAAAGTGATTTCCGGCGAGCGCAGTCTGGAAACGGATTCACCAATCGGATTACCAGAAACGACTCTGTCAGCGATAGTGTTTGACGTTTCCGGCGTTCCTAATGAAAGGGCCAAGCCGTTTCGGGCAAACAACTGGGACAGCAATTAATGTTTGCCGAAATTGTTCGAGCTTCCCTATAAATCGTGTTTTGCAATTAACAGAAACCGCTTCGGTTCCCTCTGTATTTAATGCAATGACACGGAACCGCGGGGAATGAGGTTCGTTTTCCGCCGATATAAATTGCGAGTTAGGCTCGAATTGATTTCTGGGTCGATATTCTGTTTCGCGGCTCCCGGTCTCTGTTCAATTTTTCTCTTTCCGCCTTTGTCGCGCGAGAAACGAGACGCGTTTCGCGGTGCCCGGCCGCGGTTGGAATCGAAGTTTATAATCATCGCGCGCGACGCTCGGAGGCTCGAGGGCCGTAACGAATCGCTGGAATACCGGCGATCGTTAACTCCGACGGCAGCGTCCGCGTTGGTAACGTGAATGCCCGCTGATTTGTATTTTCCGCGTGACGCGCGATACCGGGAAATACTTTTTTAATACCCGTAATGAATAATTAAAACGTAACGCGCGCGTTTTCCGCTCTCTTTTTCGTCCCGTTTGCCCCGTTTGATCGCGCGATGACGATTATCCCCGTTAATAATTTATAAATGCCGTTCGAACGGCGGCGGATCCGTTCCGCCGACACCGATATCGAGCGTTACTCGCGACCAGCAATTCTTAATTCTCAGAAAGTTCCACGGCGAGCCAGTAAAAGTCGAAACGATACATTACCGCCGGTATATCCAGCCGTACCGAAACCGTTAAACTTTCGCCGATACAATTATTTTACAGGGCCCGCGACCGTAAACAAAAAGTTTATCCTTCGTTAGCGCCTCCGGCAATAAAAACCGCTTTTACGGTCCCTAAGGTAAACTATAATTGCCGTCGAGAAATCCCGACTTCCAGAAAATTGATAGACCATTCCGTTGACACTTTATAAAAGAAAGTCCCGTCGACGGGACGCGTTGTCGGATCCAACCGATCTCGCTGGGCCCTTCCGTTAGCTGTATATCGAATCGCGTAGTCATATTCTCTCAGAGCGCACCGGGACAAGTGAATCCGCAATTGTCGTTCGTGAAAATTCCTTCTGCCAGAGTTTAATAAGTTAGCCTTATCTCTTCCAACTCTTCTTTCCGAAAGAGATAGTTTTATATTGATGCAGCTTCATTCTTGCACGCAGTAACTTTCAAATCATTCGCGCCACTTGTTCACGAACATCTATCGATTTCAAATCGAATTCCCCTGTACTCATGAGGAAACTACTATACCATAACCACGAACGGAAACTGCCATACCATAACCATAAACCTGAAACACCTAATCAAAATACTGCTACCCAAAAAAGATAATCACCCACGCAAACATACATCAACGGATATTTCTAAGCTAGGTCACTTTTTCCATCGAAGATTTACGATCTTCTTTCTCTATCCACTTCAAACCGAATTCTCTGTTCACAAGAACGAAAGAAAGCTACGGTACCATAGCATAAATCCCAAGCACCCGATGAAGCTACCCAACAAAAATCACGATACTAGAAAATGATAATCACCCACGCAAACATACATCGACAGATGTTTCTAAGCTAGATTACTTTTCCGCTGGAAGACTCATCACGTCCTTTCACCAATGATCCAAAGAAGACATTTCTCCGGGAGAAATTTATTCACGGGACAACGCAGTTGCTCGAGAGACCTCGCAGCCGTATCGATTTACATATTCCGATCAGTAATCACCCTTTCTTATCACGACCGATCGAGACCAGCAACGTGGTCCGCAACAGGGTCCTCCGCGCCGGAAGCATCAGCAACAACGAGCCAGCAGCGGCCGGGCACGGAATAACCGTTGCCGATCGCGTGAATGAGAATGACGCTGAGGGTGGCGCAGGGGTAGACTGCGTGATGGGAGAATGCGAAACGAGAGGGTTGAAATCCCTCCTGGCTGGCGCGGGGTCGGGAGGGCGAGCGGAGGCATCAGCCCCCGTAGAGTCGGTCGCGGCGCAAGGTATAAAATCAGACGGCGGATACCTGGAGGTATTCAGTGCAGGTTAGATCTCCGTGGCATCGCTTCATCGAATTTCGATCCCCAAGCCCGGCCCCCGGACCGCCATGAGACATACAAATCACCTATTTGTATTCCTGGCGATCGCAATATTTTCCACTTCTCTCAGCCGTAAGTGTACGCCGCCGATCGATCCGCTTTACCGGCCGATCCCCGTGTGCGTTGCCATATTTTTCACCGTTTCGCGGTTCGTTGCACGAGAAAGCTCCCGCCTGCTATCCACATTCCGCTATTTTCCTTTTAGTTCCGCGCGCTTTTCTTTACCACGGCGAACCCCGCCGCTCGCGTTACCGGTTTTAACTGAAACTTTCCAGTATTTGCTCCGCGACGCACACACGGTGTGTCATCTTTTCTCTTACCCGCGGTTTGCTTTTGTCAATCCCGTTGACTGGGCTCTTTCTTTTCTGGAACAATGTTGCCCTCGTCGTGTCTAGCTCGCGATAAGTTTTCGAGGTTGTTGTATGTAGATCGATGATCGATTGTAAGCTTGTAACGAAGGGATACCGTTTGCTTTGTTCTTTATTCGCTTGTTTCTCTGCAGCTTCTCTCCTCTTGTTTGATTCGGTTGCCTCTTCTTCGGTGGTCAATCGATTGTTCGGTGTGTTACTTTGGACCCGCGTGAAATTGGGGGTCGTGACGGATCGCAAGTTCTGATCCCGGGTTAATCCTTCGATCTTCCAGAGGCGGAAAAGCTGAAGTCGAATGTCAGACGGACCTCGGGCCTGGTCCCGTACCCCAGGATCGGTCGGAACTCCGAGATGGTCGGATTCTCGAGATCCGATCGCGCAGCCGGATTGTTGCATTTCCCGAGGGTCGGTCGATCCGATCCGGCAACTTCGAATGTTAATTTCAACTGGTACCGTGATCCGGAGAACGACGCGGATCTGCAGTTTTATAACGTGCGCGACTTGAAGCTGGATGCCGGCCTTGATCAGGATTACGAAGGTGAAGCATCGTTGCCCTGATCCCCTGCCGTTATTCCCCTTGAATTTCGGGCGGTAGCGGAAGAAAATCGGACGAAGAAATCCGGGATGTAAGAAGGAATCGTAGGGAGGTATAAAGCCGGGGAATGAAGATGAATTAGAGTTCGCGAAACAGAGATTCCGTACGTAGACGTGAACCGTGGCTCGGCGAAGGTAAAATCGGGATGTAAAAGTAAATCCCATTCCGGGAACGGGAAATTCGGCGATCTCGGGAGAAAATGAAACGCTGTTCGAGAGACGTACATTTAGAATGTGGAAACGAACTATAATTTGGGGATGGGGTTAATTGGCAAAGTCGGCTCTAATTTCAGAAGCAAGGGTACTTAACGTAGAGGAACTTCGTAATTTAGTTAAAGCTAGTTTGCTGTCTAAAGATAAATTTCTAATTTGACAAGTGACGATCGTTAACGCGCGGCAGAATCGTAATTTAATGAAAACAAGTTCGGTGTCTAAAGATGAACGGCAGTTTGCGAATCATGCATTCCTAACGAAAGGGAAATTAGCTATCTTAACGATACTCAGTTCGGGATCCAAAGATAAGTTATAATTTAAGATTCGTAATCTAAGGAAGAATAGCAGCTCGACGAGCACTAGTTCTATACCCAAAGGTCAATTATAATTCGAGAAGTGTTCCCGAATATAACGCGATGATGAAATACAGTTTGCGGGCGAGGTGGTCTGAGTCAATAATATTGTGCCAGGATTCACCGGAAGATCGAGGAACAAGAACGCGAGGGACCAATGGATCATGCCGGAGCGTCCGCACGCGGACCATCGACCAATGCAGAAGATCGATGAGCCGAGGCCGCTGTTCGCCGGCTTGCAAGGTACGGAGGACGCGCGGCCGCGGATCGGGAGCCGGAAATTTTTGATAGAATTGTAAATGCGTTCGTCGAATTTGAAGGATCGTTCGCGTCGCGATAGTCAGGCCGTTTGATAAATTTCACAGACCAGGCACTCGCGTAGCCGCTAATGTATCCTCTGTCAGGAATCCCGATCATTTATCTGTTCGCCTCTAGCGGGCGGCGTTATTTTTTCCGCTGCTCGTCGCCCAAGTATTTTTTTACTTTATTTCCCTCCTTTTTCGAGTGCGCGCGCGTGTAAAGGGCGCGGGGCAGGGTCCCTGTGAAAATCTATCCCGTTGATACGTGATCCGGGAGCAGAAGTGCGGACGTGTATCGCGAATGTTCTGTTGATGCGACCCAGGCCGATCCAAATGCCAATTTAATTTTTCGCCTCGCGCCGCTCGTATTTTTTGCCTCCCACCCGGCGTACCCGAGATCGTTATACAGCGTCAAATGGATACGATGTGGCTGGTTATAAATAATTCCGCAATTATCCGGGGGTGGCCTGAAATTCATCGAATACGTAGAATTATGCGGTCCGTGGAATGAGAAAGAAATCAATCGAGCGTTATAGATGTTGAATGATTCGGGGCATGTTTAGATGTCCGGAGTCAGCTGAATTCTCGATTCGTCATCCTTTTCTGTAATCACGGTTGTAGTTTATCGTTAATAATGTAGGAAGAAAGATCCTTTAGTTACCGTAAATGTGTATCTTCTTCGAAGAATAATAGTAACGGAGATCTAATATTTTACTTCACGCAAAGGAATTTATCTTAATATTACGTGCGAAGAGGTTGTATTGTAGTATTTTTCTTTATCGAGAAAATTACTTTTCAAGGAAGATGTCAGAAGTAAACGGTTCTGCGTCAAAGCGACGGCAGAATTTAATGTAAAATTCATTCTACTAAGAAAATCCAGAAACTACGATGTTGCACTGACCGTCGTCCATGTTTGCAGCTTTCCGACCGATCGTTGCAGGTCCCCGGAACAGCCAGCTGGCCTTGAACGATTACACACCGAGACTGGGACGAGAAACTGAATTTTAACGAGCTTTTCGCCAGCGAGACTACCGAGTTCACGCGGTGCGAGACTTCGTCGGCCGGACGGTCCTCGTCAATTCGCACCAGCTACGAACAATGTTAACCTTTGTACAGAAAGCGGCAAATAGATTCTCTGTGCACAAATATCCACGATAAACGACGGTCTACGTTTATTTCCCGCGACCGTGCGGAGACGTTTCCGCTGACGCGGGAGAAGCGGTAATAAAAGGCCGAGGAATTACGTTTACTTTTCTGTATGGCGTACCCTGGGTCTGATCCGCCAATCCTATTCCCCTTCCGGCCATTCGGCTCGGAATTCTCTCTGCGAATGCATCCGCCAATTGATATCCAGTCACCGAAATTCTCGATCGTTCTCCTCCGAATTGAAAAACGGACAACGATCGCAGCCGCGCGATAAAGGATCGACGGAAACGTCGAACGAGTCACGGTTCCCGGGAATTTCGTTTCCCTTGTAAAACGAATACACTTTCGATGATCATCCGCTGCGGCGTTTTCATACTTGCGGTTCGAAGAACGGAATTCCTTGCTTTGGAATTGATAAATTAATATTTATCGTCGTGTCGCATAAATTGGGATGCTATAATCGTCGATTTAACAATGAATTCTTAGGACGATGTATCGATTAAAATTTATTTGAAAAGTATTCGTTGAGTATCAAGTTTCGAGTATTTCGGTTAAAGTATTCTGGTTCTGTTCTATGTTCCATTTTCGAGTCGACCATCGAGGAAAGCGGAACGATCGGGTGTGAACGATGGAATAAATCGCAACCAATAACGCCATGTGTGTAAAATTCAATCGTTTTATTAATTGACAAAGTGTTCATAATGAATACCGGCGCGACGGGACGCGCCGGCCACGCTATAATACGTGTACTGCGATAACAAATATGTACACACGTAGAGTACGGTAACAAACTAGTGATACAGTTCGAGAATGAGTAGGGAGATAACCGGTAACATTACTTCGTCCTTCCTTCCTTCTTTTCCTCCGTTACGACCCGAGGGGTAGCCCCCCGGGGATTATTTTTATGTACAAATCACCTCGGCTCCGTGGATATTGGCAACTAGAAGAGACTTAGATCTAGGGTGACACACGCGCTCCATCGTACACACATTTTCTGCAGGCAGCCATTGTACGCCGACCAAGCATGCAAGCCAGACAAGCGAACAGACGAACGGGGTCCTGTTCCGCGAAACTGCGCGTTCTTCGGCCTTCACGTGCGGCCATCTTGAAACTGAATCATTGCACGATCTGATTAACACGTCGTACAGTTCGATACGATTTCCATTGAAAAAAAAAGAGGAACGATACCTATGCAGCCTTACGCATCAGGCACATCAGAAACAGTGCCCATGAAAAGAGGATCGACGAGAAGGTTCAAAGGGAGAAAAGAGAATTGGAAAATAAAGACGTTCTGTATTTGCAACCAGTCGTGAATCACATGTTCCGTAAGAAAGAAAAGGGATACAGGATCGCCTAGAGGCGTCGCGAGCCTCGATGCAAGCGGGCCCTGTGTCTGTGCGCCTTAACGCTTGCCAGACGCGTTGAACAACGTTTATTGGACCTCGTATATATGAATATATTTTGACACGTAACTGGGAAGACACGTTGTGTTTCGAACGGAATAATGGACACTTGTTCAAGGAGAGAGTAGGGCCGTGGCCGCTTCAGCGAGCAACCGGCCCAACGATCGGCAACGATCTCTCATCGCGGGCTAGCCCGTCGGACCCGATCGTAAATAGAACGTGCAGTTTCGAAATTCGATGTCTTACATAATCGATTAGGATGGACAGACATAACTGGAGTGGATTCGATCAAATACTCTGTATACTACTTTCGTTAACCTGCCGGACGTCTTTAATATAAGCACGAGAGATACAAACTTTCTAGGTCCCTGTATGCAGACAACCATACTCAATGTACGCTTGCGGATTGGAATCTGGGATTGGTTTAAAAACGTGAGCCATTCGCTTACCAAGCGATTCTAACGAATATACCCGAATCGAACTGCAATCAACGAACCTAATCTCCGAACCCAACGTCTAACGTGCCGTTCGCGTGACGGACTCACCGGTTGTACACCGGTCAAACGATAGAAAACGGAACCACGGAAGATCGTCTCACAGGCCGACCTGGTAGGCCCATGGCTCACCGTATAAAATACAGACGCGGGTGGTTACTGTCGGCAACGAACGTAACGAAGTGAATTCTCAAGGAGTACGCGGCTGATTGGAACGTGGTAGGGTTGAAAGCGACGGATACGAGTCCCGCGAACAAAGGTATACCGACTATTTGCTCGAAAGCCGGTTCGTGTGTGTCGGTCTGGCGTGTCCTTACAGAGATACGAACTCGTGCGGCGGTTGGATGATCCGCGGCGGCGGTGGCGGCGATAACCGCAGGTCGACGTCGGTCAACGAGAACGCGGAGCTGCCGTTCGCCGTGACACGGGGCCCCATATTGTCGTAAGGCGAGCACAGGTCGGTCGAGCGCAGCGCTCGCCGCGGTAGCGTCGCGAAGCTCGAGACACTGGACGCGGCGGCTACAGCTGCGCTCGACTTGTTCACCACGCCGCCGTGCACGGGCAGATCGAGCAAGTCCGGGTAGCAGCGCTCGGACGAGTCCTGCGGCACGGACACGGAAATGAAAATGTTCCCGAAGATCCCAGCCGGGAGGACACCGTTCGTGAACTCTGGCGGCGGCGGCGGGAACATGGCGGCGCACGGGACCGACCTCATCGCGTTCACGGAGCTAGTAGTCACTTCTGGTCGCAGTCTCTCGATGGTGACCGTAGCCGCGCTCATGGGGTCGCAGATCGATCCCCTTTCCGCTAGCTCCAGGTCACCGGAGCTGTAGGCCTCCACTATGCTGCCGTGGCCGCTGCCCTGCTCGTTGCTATTGCCAGGCGTGGTCGTGGTCACGGACAGGTCCAACAGTTTCTTCTCTTGGTCGCCGAAGCTCGTGCTGCCTTGCAGCTTGACTTTCTCGCGAGCACTCTGCCGACGAGATCCCCCGCACACGCACAGGGCCAACAGCACCGCCGAGATAGAGGCACAAAGCGCGGCCGCCCCGCCACCCGCTAAACTGACCCACAGCAGCCAATTGTCGCTCTGGGACAACGTGGGGGCAGTGTACACCCGCGGGATAGCTACACTAACCGTGCCCCTGGCCAAGCCCGCGATATTCTTAGCGAAACATGCGTACTCCCCAGCGTCTCCGTCGCTCGCGTTGTACACTGTTAGGTTGCTCCATCTGTCAGTGATCTTGCCGACCGTGGTTCCCCGGTCGCTGTAGGCCGAACCGACGTCGGACGTTGCGTACGCTACGTAAGTCCCCGTGTAGGTCTGCTCGGTTAGCCTGGTGGCGTTCACTGGTCCTCCGTTCAACTGCCACCAGACCTCTGGCTCCGGATCACCCGTAGCTAGACAGGCTAGGCTAAGGTTGCCGTTCACTTCCTCCTGTATGCTGTTCGCCAGAACGATCACCACCGGCTCACAAGCGAACTCGGTTGGCTTCACGTCCTCCCACTTGCGACCTTCCAGCCGCGACGGCGCTGAACACACTTGAGGCACGGAGTACAGTTTGTTGGGAACATTGGAGATCAGCCAGCTCCGGAAGTCGCGGAGCCTGCAGTCGCAGCTCCACCGGTTCCCGTCCATGGTCAGCGTTTTCAAGCTAGGCAGGTTCGAGATCACCGGCGCGTCTATGTATTCCAGCTCGTTCTGATCGAGCCGGAGGGACTCTAGACCCTTCAAGTGTATAAACGCCTCGCCGTGGATCTCCGACAGTGAACACCTCTGCAGCTCCAGGGTGCGCAGATGCTGCAAAACCGGGAACTGGTGGCTCCTAAGGCTGCTCAGCGGGTTCCCGCTTAGAATTAGGATCCTCAGTCTTTCGTTGCCAAGGAAGGTGCCCGGCTCGAGGCTCCTCACGTGGTTGTCGGACAGATCGATCTCGACCAGGATCGTCATGTTCCGGAACGAGTCCGCGTGGATGTGATGGATGCCGGCGTTCCGCAGAAACACCTTCTGCAGGTTCAGCAGACCGGACCGTTTGAAGATTTCCGACTGGAGCGCCGGTATCTTGTTGCCGGACAGGTCCAGCACCTGCATGTCGGGATCCAGGGAAGCCGGCAGCGAGGTCAATCCCGCGTCGTGGCACAACGCTGATTTCTTGCCGGACGTCCATTTGCAACGGCACACCGCCGGGCAGTCGGTCCAGTCCGGGAACGCGGCGGCTCGTGACAGCAACGCGAACGTGCCCAGCAAGAAGAACAGGGCGAGCAGTATGTGCCCCTGCAAAGGGTGATGCTTTGTCCCTAACATGCCACAGTCTGTTTCTCTTCTCCTCGCCGATTAGAAGTCTGCAACAGTGAGATACTTGGTGAGAAATCGCTTCAAGAGTACTGTCACGACTAAGATTGAACGCTCGAGTATCCTTTTCTTTATTCTCAACGCTCCGGAGGAACTCCTCGATTACTCCTCGAACAGTTTCGAGGATGAGGTTTCGAAAGCAGACGTCTTTTTCATCGTTTCTCTCGCTCGCTGATAAGTCTTCGTCAGACATACGCAACAGTTGATCTTGAACATCGAAGAGGGAAATGGAATTCCGTAACAATTTCATTTAGAATACCTCGCTTTCGAAACTATGCGAACTGCATTCGAAACGTTCCCCGTATCGTCAAGAGTAAAAGGTACATTCGATTATTTAGAGAGAAGGCGGGGGAAGTTTGAAAAATGTTGAACGTCTCACTTTCATACGGATTAATAGTCTCAAGGGAAGCGAGTAAATTTCAAGGAAATTCCGATGCCCCGTAAAGGTCCGCAATCTAACGCTAAGTGAAGAAAAATCTCGCGCCCCTCACGCGAATTAATTAATAAACGAGCTTCTTCGCTTCCCCGTGAACTATCCGACGAAGAAGAAGGGAACCGAGCAGCGCGCGCGCGCGCGCGCGCCGCGAGTATTAAAATAATCAACAACCCCTTGGCAGCGTGCGCGCGAGCCGCGGCGGATGATTAAACGCAACGATTCCGCGTGAAACGTTTCGGAACCTTCTGTATCGTTGGCCGGGGCCGCTCACTCATTTAGCCCATTTGCGTTAGCATGTAAAATTACGCCTGATAATTTCCGGATTAACGCGAGCGTCCGCGACATAAGCGGCGCTACTTAACGCGGCATTGTGCGCTGTTGATTACGTGACGCGTGCTCCCGTCGATTTCCATTCCTCCGTGGCAATGATCATTTAAAAAACAAATGCGAGCAACACCCGGCGACGAGGTGTTGTTTGTTTCCCAGCGATCCGATTGACGCGCGCGACCCACTCGTCTCGAATTCGATCCAGATTTCCCCGTTTGTCCGGCACCGTCCCGCGTCCAACGGCCGACGCGTGTATTGTCTCTCGCGCGGAATCGGGGTAATCCGAGAGAAATTATGAAAATTACCACGACGAAAACGTCGCCACCGAGGGAAACGGGGGCAACGACGAGGTGAACGTAACAATTTTTCTAATTAGTTACCGCGTTGAATATTGCGCGAAACGATTCGCGAGCCGGCCGTGCGCGTTCTGTCGCTGACAGGTGAATAAAACAGAATGTAAGAGACGGTTTCTACTACGAGACGTGAAAGCTCTGTGCACACTTTTCAGGAAACGCGGCGGGAGGGGCGGGCGGGAGGAGGGATAGAGTAAAGGGGACTTTATTTCGTGCGTTTTATTAGCGGTTAAACAGAAGCAAGAGGAGGTATTTTTGTTGGCTGCCGCGCGCCGCTTCAACTTTATCACAGATGAATTATTAAAGAGGACGACGGAGATAGCGGATTTTTTTATTTGATCCGAAAGATTCCTTTTTTTCCCGCCGGTGAAACGACTTGTCGAACGACCCGGTGGAAACCATTTTGTCGGAGGAGCGAGGTACCTTAACGTCGGGTATAAATGTTTGCCGGGGTTAAATAGGGGGGAGATGAAAGGATGAAACGTGCCTCCTAGCCGGTGAGGGTATCGAATGCATCGAGCGACTAGCAACGATTTGTTTACGCCATGTCGCGCATATTAATATTACAATTGAAATGGAAATACGGGGAAACGTCCGGCGGAGGCTGAACACGAAGCTCCGGGGTCTCGATATTCCGCGTACTCGCCGAGCCGATGGGCACAAAAGCGAGTTAAATCGAAAACAAAGGCACGGATGCATTATCGATGGAATCCCGTGCTTCCCGACGCTGGGAGTGGAATCGGGAACGGTGAAACGGGAAGTCGAGTCCCTCTGTTCGTGAAATTAGTTGTTCGTTTCGTGAATATTTCGTGTGCCACGGCGACATTACATTTTCTTCGCGGTGAAACGGACCGGTGTTCCGTTGTTTAACAAACAATGAGAGGAACCTCGGCGTCGCCGGTGAAAGACGCGAGGCGGATCTCCAAGACGAAATTACGGACAAAAGCCCGGCGCTCTCGAGTCCGTACGAAAATTGATGCTTTTTCATTCGAGTTCACGTGATACCCGAGCCGGGAAAGTTTCTCAACTTTCACTGCAGCCGGAAGTTCCGGAATCACTTTGACGATTGAAGATTAATTAGACCGACCGTCCCGTTTCCCTGTCTCGCGCGAACGAACGTGTGGTTATTTATAGGTTACGTCTTTTTGATCGGGGAATAATCGAACTCGGATATTTCTGGGGCACACGTGCCGTTGAACGGGAACGCGCTGGCGTGTCTGTTCATGATTCTCCGTTACCACTTAATGGAATTAGTAATGCGCGCGTATCGAACTTTCGGAATCCATTCGCCCAGAAATCAACTTCAAACGGGCCAAGTTTATTCTATCTTTTCTATTTTGCATAGAGTTACAGGCTATCCCGTGCAACATTGAATAATTATTCAAACCGCTCACGCACCGGTTCCCATGAAATATACATGAAAACTAGTTCACCGGAAAAGTGTTTAACACGTGCTTTTTTAAAATCAATGCTGCACACCTCCTAGATATTACGGTTGATAAACAACGCTTGGAATAATCACGGAAAGCATCGTAAATATTTACAAAACCGGGAACAATAGAAAATACATCCAATAATCATCGTTGCACAGTGGGAAACAATAAAATACTCGATTCGGTGAAAACTTCACGAGACAAACATCAAGAATATCCAAAAACAGAAATTCCAAAAAAGTCTCGAGTACTATTTATTTCCCTCGCGCTCTCTAGTTTCCAGCGACATTTCGAAAAATATATTTCCACCCATCGACATCGAGGGCTGTTTGCGCCGATCGGTCGAGTAACGGAACGGAAAGCAGAGAGAGAGAGAGAGAGAGAGAAAGAGAGAGAAACGCGTCGAATATTTCGGCGAGCACGCGACATCGAAACGAATTCCGTCGAAATCACTGTTGCGCTCCGGTGTCGGTTGAGTACCGTGTTTAATGCGCCGCGATTCCGAACCCCCGGGGACGCGATTCCCGAAGCCCCGCTCATTCTTACTTGATCGTCTCGTTTGGCCACCACTAAGCATGCCGTCTGCGTGTCTGAATGGGGCCGTCATGCTTGCGTGGACGCTTCCATTGTTTCTCAGGGGCTTTCATTTCGCCGACCGGCTCTCCTTCAGGCATCACGGGCCTATTGTCGACGGGTTCTTAGATTTCATTCTGATTAAGCGCGGCGTACGGTGTTCACGGTGCGCGGGCTGGCCTACTTCTCCGATTGCGTCTCGCCGGCTCTCTAATCTGCAACAAACAAAGAACAACAATCCCTCGATTATGTAACCTCTTTTCCTTCGTTTTTTCCTTATCCCATTTTTCCCTTTGTCCCGGCCTCTATCGCGATCGTTCCCTTCTCCGCTCCCCCCTGTCCGCGAATCAAATCCTAGCATCAACGCGCCGGTGTGACCAAACAAACGATGCTCGAACGCGTTTTCGAGTCGATTACGGCACGGCGCAGAGCGTCGACGTTGTTTTCCTGTTCCGCGCGTCGCGGCGCGGCGCGTCGCGTCGCGACGTGACGCGACGTGGAAAGCCCCGCTCTGCTATCGGGCAACGAACGCGGAATTTCAAAGCCCCTCCAGGACGCGCCGAGCCCCGTGTGTCTCGTAGGCCACGAGCGCTTCCGGCCGCCTACCAGGGCATATTAATTGCTGACTCGGCTAATGGTATGCCCGCGTAATGCGCCACGAAATTTATATCGATCATAAATTAGTCGTAAACTCGGCCCGGTCGAGAGGGGCCGCCGAACCGAACTGAACCGATAATTTTCAATCCTCGCCGCGACCTCCCAGACGCAGCCCGCCCGCGGAATAGACACACCGAGCAGCGCACCGATTCAATTCTCCACACCGTGTACATAGACAGAGACGTCCCTCTCGAGTTTCTCTCGAGCGAGAAAATATTAGGCTCACCGGTGTCCCGTGTTGCGCCACTTCAGCCTGCTGCCGTGAGAAAATCCGTGTGCGTGAACCCAGCGTAGCCAATCACGGCGTCGCTGGGTCTCCTTGAAAGATTGAACAGCGGACAGCGGAGACCCGCACCGTGTTTCACTCGCGAACCATAGGTCCCTTCGCCTCGTCGTCGTTCCACCCTCCCTCTTCCCCCCTATCGCCGCTTCCTCCAGCTTCTCCTCGTCCGGTCTACCTTTTCTTCATTCACGGAACGGTTAGACTCGTCGAGCGGTGGGCACTCGGTGTCACCGTCGAGTCCCCGTCAGCCTGGCCGCCGCGAACACGGAAGCCTCTGGAGGATGCTAAACCCCCGGCGTACCACCGTACGCGGACACAGACCGCACGCACTTGTCAGCTTCTCGCCTCTCCTCTCCACGCGTAGAGTATCGCGACGTGTGTTCGCCCGTTCTCACGAGAGGACACCCCCCACCTGTGCCGACGCCGCCGCGGGGTCGTCGACTGGCATCGACGGAGTTACGTTTTCCTATTATCCTCTTCGCAGCCTCGATCAATCAATCTTCTCCGTTCGCTCTGGCCGCGTTTCGCTTGCTCGCCACCTCGTTCTGCCTCCTCGCTGCTCCGCCTCGCCATCCGATCACTCAGCTCCTCGGCGACGAGCAACGGGACATGGACGACACGGGACGTCCGCGGCGAGACGCTGCTCGCGAGAACGCTGGATGCTGCGGCCGCGCCGCTCCATCGAACATTTTCATCCCCAGAGCGCCGTGCTCCCGCCGGCGCCAGATCCACGGTGTATACGCGCACGCATACACGCACGATCACGGTGCACGATCCTCTTCTCCCCAGGTGGAACCGGGGGACTCTCCGATCGGACGGATCCTCTTCGATCACCGATTTCAGGGTATCCGATCAGCAGCCCGTCCAACACACGCCACACACGAGAAACCTGCAGATTTGCCGCAGAGGCCACCGACACGATGCCTCCGTGTCCCCGTGTCTGTTCCTCTCGCTTCCCCCTCCGCCGGTCAACGACAACTCCCCTCCCGCCCCTGCGCCCGCTCGCTCGCTCTATTCCTCGATCTCCTCCCTTCTCTCGGCGACCTTTCGCTCGCTGTCCCTTTCCGACTCCCTTGCCGCATAGACGACCGTCCGCGGGCAGCACCGTCGAATTCTGGTTCAATGAAATCCATTCCAACCCCTCGACACCCTTCAGAACCTCCCCTCCTCGGTTTTTCCATCGCCGAGACGTCCGCCATAACCTTTCGACTACGCTCTATGCCCTTTCCTCGTCGTCCTCGTCGTCGTCGTTCCGATCACGGTTGAATCCTTTAGCTACCGCTGACTGGAGCTGCTTTAGAGGGTTTGCAAGGGATTTCCTTCGTTCAGGAGAACACGTTGGCGTGTCGCTTGGTCAGAGGGCTGAGGGTTGCAGGACATAACCTAGGAAGGTGACGCGCTGCGAATTAATTGAAGAGTGCCGAAGGAGAGGGAGAGAGGACGTTGATGACTCGATCGATCGACCAGGACTGCTCGGAGTTGCTCGGGGGTGCCCCCTTCGTGGAGAGCTCTACGTTATCGACTCGATCGCAACGGTTTCCTGTCTGGAAACTAGGAGGCTAGAGGGTGTTTTGGGATACTTTTCCGGGCTTCTCTCGGCTTCTTATCGATTTGGAATTGGTGCTGGTTTCTCTGGTTGTACGGGCTTGTTTAGAGACCACGTTGTCGAAGGGTTGTTGGACCGGAGAATTTTCTCTAATAATCGTCGCCGAGAGCTGCCGCGACTCTGCGGAAATTGTCGTGAAATGTTTCTCTCGAATGTAGAACACGTAACTCAATTCTCTATTTAATATGCTCAGCGAAAATACTCGTATGTTTCTATAACAGATACATCCCCCTCGGCGGGGCAACATTCCCGCGGAAACTTCTTGCGTTGCAAATATAACGAACATGACAGGTTACAGTAACTATTATTACATCGTACAGGAGACATCGTCGGCTACACTTGAACTTGCGCAATTCCGTTATCCCGTTAGCTTAAGAGTCTTATATTTCACGGAGATCAGCGGGAAGGATGACAGAAGCCTCGAGGAGTCGCAGGGAATCGTTTCCCCCGAGTTTCCCAGTCGGTCTCGTTACATTCAGATAACCGTGTTCGACTGGGAGTCCGTCGATCCCGACGCGTACGCGACGTCACGCGAGATAGCGAAACGGAAAAGAAGAAAAAAAAGGGATGTGGAACAGATCGATGGGATTATTCGCGTGCCATTTCGCACCGAACGCTAGGGGGTTGTTTCTTACTGTTGCCGCAGCTCCGTGTCTACGTTTTTCAGCATTTTATTACAAGAATATAGTATAAACTTTCGTTTCGATAGGGTTCGTGTGTACGTGTGTGTCCTCCGTGTTTATGTGTGTGCACCGTCACGCATGAATCCGTTTTCTTTTTATACATAAGAGTCGTCGCGTCGTCTCTCTTTCTCTCTCTCTCACTCTCTCTCTTTCACTCTCTCTTTCTCTCTCTCTCTCTCGCTCTCTTTTCTCGTCTCGCTCCACCCCCCCAGTTTTCCCACGCCAGGCCACGATAGTCAATAGCTTTCGATAGTTGATCGATATACGTATAATAATATATCTTGTGTAATCTTACGTTTTTTTTATCTTATCTCCGCTAAATTGTAATCTATATATATAATATATATAGGTATATCTTCTGTGTGTGTCTGTGTGTTTTTTTTCTCGTTACTGGAAACATACTTGGCAGTTTACGTCTAATAGTACAACGAAGCATTTTTTCATTTCCTTTCTTCATTTCTCTTCTCCTTACTCCTTTCACCTGCTCCTCCTCCTCCTCCTCCTCCTCCTCTTCTTAATCTTCATCTTCTTTCTCCCTCGCTCGCTCGCTCCCATTCTCTCTCTCACTCTCGCGACCTCAACGACACGCGGCAAACGCGTCGACGCCCGGATCGATCCGATCGTCCGCGATCGAGCGCGTTTTTTTTGTTTTCTGTTTTTCCTTTTTCCTTCTTCTTTAATAATTGATATGTCAGTGGGTTTTTATTCTCTTATCAGCGAACCTCCAGCTCGTCCCCGGGAAAGCGTAGTTAACTGCGAACGCCAGCCGTCTCCCTCCGTTCCTCAGGGTTATTTCCAGGTGTTCGCTGCAACAGGAAACGCGACAGAGATACTGTGACCAGGTGTCGGGTTGGTTGTCTGGTTTCCCAATGGTAGCGACATGGGTTCAGTTCATTGGACGTTTGGAAGTTTCTCGCGAGCACCGACGGTTTTCGTCGTTTTATAATCAGCGGCGTGCTTGCGATCGAAACCTTTGCGCGACCCAAAAACTACGAAATATCATGACCCAACGTGAACTTTGGTAAAGGTAAAACGTTCCCCGACAGTCGCGGCACTTATTATACCCCAGTGAAACGATTATTCGATAAGTAGATTACAGGATTGAATATACTTCGATTCTTCATTTATAACTCGAAACCTGGAGAATCAATGGACACCAATCTTTATGCATGATTAATATGTTGGTTGAACTCAGTTTTAATATATGGGAATATGCTCATGAAGGGAGTATCATTTCTCATTCAAGAAATCGCACGGTTTCATAAACCTCCATCCATCATCTATTTTTGATAGTTCCCTGAATGGAAGTAAATAAATCACGCTGACCTGCGAATCAAGATCCATTCCTCGTTCTTCTAACCTCACTCCCCATACCTAATTACCTTACATCCGACTAAACACGAAGAAAATATCCTCGCGTGCACTGGACGCGTGGTTTCCATCGATTCTCCAACATTCCAGGTCTAAATGATCAAGTTTACCAATTATTCACCGTTGTCCCCCGCCCGTCCGTCGACAATTTAAATAGCAAATGTCCCATCGAATTCCCCCGGTGGAAATTATTCAAACGCGATCGATAACGCTCGCATAAAGGTCCGGCAATAAACGGGCGGTATTTAAAATGGGGCACAGGTGCGGCCGTCATATCGAATCCGTTCACCCTCGTTTCGGCGTGGTTCCGCGGGAAAACAGAAATACACCGGGCGCGAAATTAGGCGAGACGACGACGACGGGCCGCAACCCAGTTCCAGCGAATATTCAATGAACTTTTCCCATTTTATCTCGCGGCCATTGTGTACAGATTCTCGTACCTTTGTAATATATGTCCCTGTTCATCGTCGGACAGTTTTTCGTTCCCTGGAGGGCCGCCGGCGTGGACAAAGAAAGGGGAGAGAAAAAAGAATGAATGGTTTAAACAATCAGAGCCAGCAATCGCGGGGCGCAGGCGACGCGATGCGCTCGCCGGCTGTGTTACCTTCACGTTGAAGTCGATGTTTGTTCGAACGGGACGATGATGAAGCGGCTGGGGCGGTCGGAAATTGTCCCCGAGGCGCTCGATCGGTTGCTTCTCGTCGCCTTTCATCAGTTGCCGCAGCGCTAGCAGCTGAAAAGACACATGGATCAGCTCTCGGACGAACGACGCGTCGATCCTCACCTGCCCAGCTGAGTCTTTCACGGGATCACCGATCCTTTAAACCGAACTCCAGTCTCCGAACTTTCCATGAACTATCGCGGAGAGATGGAAAATCGGCTACCAACGTGGCAAATTTTCATAGGGCAAGTGGAATCTTGCAGTATGGAACAGCTGCAGCAATACTCACTCTAACGTTTCATTGTTACTGTCTGCGATTCAAATTTAACGTTTGCCACTTGTGTAATACACGTGGTGGCTGTAGTTCTATATTCTATACGAAAGAATGATTTTAACACTAGAACTACCGAGCATTCAATGCGATTGATATGTAATCTCTATAAAAATTGTAACAGATTATTTTCGGTTTTTTTGGATATTCATCGTAGTACTCAAGTGAGACTATTTCCAAAATCATTTCAAATATTCAATGCTTTTAAGGTATTGATAACTGCGAAACAAATCGAAACCAGTCATTTTGACTGGTAGTTCTAGTGTTAATGCTATAGCTATCGTTATCTTCAGTTGCAAGATATGACATATTTGGAAACCAAGTATTTTTAGTCTCGTTTTTTAATGTTTCGTTTGGATTTATTGGATTTTGTTGAACTTCTCGTGGAAGTATTAACTGTTAGAACGTCATTGAAATAAGATGAATGACGCGTAACAGCAGAAAATAACCGTGTATTGAGTCTACTGGTATGTAGTAGGAGTCTCCTCGGAGGGAACTAGGCGGAGTCAACAATTCCCTTTGCCCCTCTGTAATTTCATCTTGCCGGTACTCGGATAGCTTCTTATCTCTCTATAATACTGACCGAGAGAGATCGTGTAGGATATCGTACAGGTTACAGAGGGAATTTTCCGAAATTATCTACTCTACAGCGAAGCCTCTGATAGGCTTGATCGTATTCGACACAAGTGGACCGCCCACCGGCAACTCTTTCCTACGGGAACGCGCGACACATTGTTCGGTTATTTTGCATCTCTTTGATGCCACCGGTGCAACTTGTCGCGGGGTATTAGCAAGTATAATCCTTCCCCCACTGACACGGGTAACCGCTACAGAATTTTATTCAAATCCGTCGAGTGGCTCGTGCTGTATCATTCGTGAAAGTGGATCAATCGGCAGTTACGTAACTCGACTCTCGTCGTTTTCGATTTTCATAATTACATACGTCCCTTTTGTAATACTATATGCACTCCGTTCACGAGAAAGCGGGCTCTAAACGTTGCTCGATCAATTATTCAAATAAACAATGTGATCTCTCAGACGTTGTTAACGCACTATCAGTTTCTCGTATTATTCTTCGACTTCTTCATCCTATTCGCCCTTTTTCTCTTGTTTTCTTTGCACTTCATTCCTTAGCCACTGTTAGTATCTAAAGGCGTTTGAAAAAGTTTGGTTTACTGTTGGTGTCCATAAAGTATTATTGACAATAATTGCAGCGAAACTCCCTTCAATTGCAGTTCTATCTTCGATCAGTCATATATTATATAAATCTGATTACTTTAGATCGGTTTAATTCAGTTCAATTCAGTGTTTTGACACACTTCCTTAGAAATACCAGTTGACGCAAAATCCTGCCATAAACACTTCCACAACAAAGAAGCGAACATTGCTATTCAATCATTATCTCTCAATTGAAACAAATATTTCAAAAGTAAATTTCAAATCTTGACTTAAACAAATCGCCCAGCACGCTGACAGCTTTTATTCGGATAGGTCAGCAGTTCTCTGCCCCTGTTCTGGAACGGTCAGTAGAATTTCACGCTCGGAATGACTGACTCCCGATAGTTAATCGGTCGCGAGTCACACATCATTTGCCGCGACAAAATGCATAACAAAAAAACGAAGACAGATAGAGAGAGAGAGAGGGTCGCCGGCAGAGGGGACGGGGGAGGCGCGTTAATCCTCTCCAGTCAAAAACAGCCGGTGCCACTCGACATGAATCACCCTCTATACCAAACAAAGCTGCGAGCGGAGATTTCCGGCTCTCCATTAATTACACCGGGATTTCGCTCTCAACGACACGGCGTCGACAAAATTTTCCAGTCAACAATTTTTTCCTTCCCTCCTCGGCCGACTTGCCGCCCCATCCGCGCGCGCGGGACACGTGTTACTCCTCTCGTTCGCGGATAAATCGCGTGTGCGCGCATCGCCGGGATTAATTCGCGGGCCGCGTGTCCGCGCGCCGAGCCAAATAATTACGCCTCCTCGCTGGCAACTGCTTTTTTCTCGTGTATCCTCTCGCTGGCCGCATTACACGCGCGCTTCTGAAAGTTCTCAGCGATTCTTTGGGTTCTTCAACCTCTTGCTCTGCGGTCCCTTTCGCAAATGCGCGTACTTTGTTGACAAAGGTGCTTTATCGTTAATGATTCTTTAGAAACAAAAGAGTTTGATGCTCCGCGTACACGTTTACTCGATAGATTAGCGACGATAGACAAGTAACGTTTGATCTCTGTTAAAGGAAAATCACTTTCAGATTTGCCGAATTCCGTTTAAAGTTTTGGAATCGCCAACTAATTGCACACAGGTTTCAATTGTTATAGACTTTCAAGGTTGCACCGGTTACAAGCGAAAACCTCGTAACAGTTTTAGTCAGATATCAAAAGTCCTCGCGAAACTTTCGATACCAAGCAACAAAAATTTCGGCTCTCGTGTACCGTCTTTAAAAGAAACTCCGGCCGCGAATGTGTTAATGAAACGAAACTTTTCCAATGAGGCTGCTTCGTTATTTGCTAGAGGATTCCCCCGTTTCAGCGCGAGCAAGTTCCACTGGGAACGTTACCGGTCGCGCAGAGTTCACCGCGTTCAAGTTAATTGAGAGAGAGTGGGAGAAGTGGTCAGTTGAAAATATTTTTCGGTAACCGTGACGAATCAATTTTCTCGCGCCCGAGTTCCCGTTTATTTCGACGAGGATTGCGGGCGGTATTAAACTATCTGTACGTGAGCTTCACCACGGAACAAAGTGGCCGACTCTATTCTTAAAGTTTTACTGCCAGAACACTTCCCTGCTAATCCAATGAAATTTCTCTACTTTCCGTTTCGCCGAGCTAACCGCTGGCGAACGAACAGCCGACAGAAGGCGAGCAGGGAATAATTGAGAATTCCGGTAAGAATTGAACGATCGCTGAAACATTTACGGACGCCTCATACATTCCACGCAGCCATCTCCCATTCTCTTACACTCCTTTCATCCTCGCTTCGCTGCTCCTCAAACCTTTCGCTCCCATTCACAAAGCTTCCCTCCTCCGCCGGCAATCTTATAAAAACAAAATATCGTTCCCGTCACGTTCTCCGAACGCGAACTTCCTTTTTCAATAGAAAAAAGAAAGAAAGAGAAAGAGGGAAAGAAAGCGGAGAAAGAGGGAGGAGCGAGAAACAATGTTATTACGAAACGAATCGCGCAACAGAGGACGACGGTATCTCATTTCTCGCGAGCTTTTGCATTAGCATTCTACGCTCGCCGGGCGGAGCGGGGCGGGCGCCGTAAAATTTTATAGTATTGTAATTTTATTCCACGGCGCGGTGCTCGCGAGCCGTTTTTCAATTATCGAATCGCCGCGGCCCTCGAGGGAGACTCTTTATTTCTGTCCTCTGGTTCCGGCCGGCAGCGCCGCGG